CTTATTACCTCAAAGCAGCCGCCGGGGGGGGGGGGGGGGTTGTTAGGTGTTGTTAGGTGTTGTGAAGGTGCCGTGAAATTCCACCCAAGAAAAACAGAATCTGGAAAAGCGCAGGGGGAGGAGCCTGGAGGCCATCACTAGAAGGGGGTGGAGAGTGGGATTGTGGAAGTGTGACAACTCATGGCTCATTTCTGATTGGCTGGTTCAGGTTAAAAGGGGAACTCCGGCATTTTTTTGAACACGTTCTTCCCCGCTGTACAAATATGTTAAATTTTAACAAACCCGACGGGAGTCACAAAACGCCAAACGTGACCCGGCGCCGTCCAGGGGGATCTCTGTGGAAGGCTGCGTCCGGCCTGGAAGCAGGTGGCAGTGCCCGGGGGACCCGCTCCAGACTCTCAGCTGAAATAACTGTCTAACCGCTCCCAGTATGTGACCCCCCCCAATGTATGACAAAGCATAAAGGATGCCATCTTGTGTGGCAGGGCATGCTGGGACTTAAAAGATGACCGTCCTATGACAGACTTCTCAACCCCAACCCGGTACAGTGAAAAGCTGATAATGGCACACAGAAGTGTTCGGCATTAGAGTGTAAGCTCCTCTGTACAGAGACTGATGTGACTGTGGGGGGAGGGGACATTAGAGTGTAAGCTCCTCTGTACAGAGACTGATGTGACTGGCACTAGAGCCTTTACAAGAGTCCATGAGATTGCAGAGGAGAGCCCATCCTCATCATACTATCACTCCCATCATTCACCATCCTGGTGTGGAATGTTGCGGGTCTATGTGAATGAAATGTCGGTGAGTAGCGGGCGTTCAGCTGTCAGGTCGGATCTGCTGACCATGAGCAGAATCTTTAGCAGTGTGTTGGGTAAAGCAAAGGACGGGTTCATGCTCCTTCCAGACCAATGATGAGGATGAGAATGACGGGCTGGGAGTCACGGTGACAAGTTTCGTTCCTCTCGTGGGGCCGATAACGGAAGTTATACATTTGTATCTCTGAACTGAACAGAGAAAGAAAAGTAACTTTGTGTCTCTTCATCAGTCTCCCCCGGGACCGCTCTCTGCTCAGGTCTGTTCTTCCGGATCACATTGAACGCAGGCCAAGCTGGCCGACCCTCCAACATGTTCATGCGTCAAAGTGAAAGCAAAACCTAAATGTGATCCGTGTCACATACATGTTACAGAGCGGACTTTCCCGGGGTGACCCAACGTGACAACTCTCCGCGCCGGGCAACCAATAAATACAAAATTCCTGTTATTATAGTCTATGGACCCCAAACCTTCCGCAAGGGTCACA